TACCCATAGATCAAAGTTTAGTTTCCGGACGATTATTGTAAGGTATTATTATTTGTTATTAAATTTCATCTTAATGATAAAGAATAACATATGTGAAAAACCACTGATCGTTTTGAGTTTTCGTTTAAAAAGTCCAAAAATTACTTAGAAAATTGCTTGAAACTTTTTAAATTATTGAGATATTCAAATCAATTTTTTTATTATTTGTCAGATACGATTCAGAACAAAATGATGAAAACACTTTTTAAAAAACTTTCCACGTATACGCAGTATAAAATAACTAACTTAAATACTCATAAATTGCGCAATTTTTAACGACTTTTTTCAAAACTTTAAATAGACAATTTTGTAATTAATGTTAAATTGCTCCAAAACTTTTGTTCAATTCCATTGAATATGTATAAACTTATAACGAAAAAACGTGAAACAAAAGAATTATCTTTTTATAAAAATGTTCATATCTTCATAAATATTTACTCTAGTTTTACAAAACTTTATGCACATATTAAAAATAACAACTAAAGTAATCAATACAAGCTACAAACTTATTGGTGGATTTTCTGGCATAGGGTGTTCAAAAATACTTGCTTTCTTTCGTAATTTATTGTAGATCTTTCAAACCTCTAAAAGCTTTAAATTTTATAAAATATGAAAAATTTCATGAGTATAAAAATCTCATAAGTATGATACTTAAGCATCTCTAAAGCTGCAAAATAATCCTTTAAGTATTTCTTGAGAAATTTTTAAAAAAATTTCAAAAACTGAAAATGTCTATTCCATTATTCTAGGGGCAGTGTATTTCTAATACCTTAGGAAATTTCTTAAATATATTCATATACAAAGATTCAATTGATGCTGTTTTAACAAATACTCCAAAACACCAAAACAATTTATAATTGGTATTTTTCTGCTTTTAAAATGAAACAGGAGAATTAAATAGGTTTGGAAAAAAGCAGCCAGTGGTTCTCAGAAAAAGGTGCTCATCATTTTCGAATGAAAGGAAGAAAATAGACAGAAATATCGTCATTATACCTAATGAAGTACGTCAATTATCAAAGACACGCCAGATGTAAATAAGGCCCATTGCCAGGCTTTCAATTTTAATTGATGCTAGAGAAATAAAAGTGTGTTTTATATTTAGAATAAAAAAAGACGTAGCGACAGGTGACGGAGTTTCTCACTCAATTTATTAAAAAGGAAACCAATGTATAGATGTGTGTGTGTGTATATATGTGTATATATATATATGTGTGTGTGTGTGTGTATATATATATATTTGTTTGCTGTCACAGCATGGAGTTTAGTGCAAAGATGTAGTAGCATTGAGAGCGAACCATATTAAAATACATTATATTTCTTTTCCAATATTATAACATAAAAGTCGTTATAATCTATGCTTGAATAATTAAAAAATGATTTATTGAAAATTTTTATTTAGTCTAAATGTACTTCTTTAATAATTAAATGTAAAACTTTTAGAATCATGTTCTAACCCTTTTAAAAGCAGAAAAATAGAAACATGCTGAATATGTCATCACTTATGCTTACATATTGAAAGAAAATACGTTTTATATCTTAATGGCTTCCCTTTTGCAACTGAAATGAAAAGTTTAATAAACAACGATAATTTTAACTGTTTTCAATGCTTAAACCATGAACGAAGGTTTATTAGACATTTTACATAAATTCACTAATTTTATGCACATCTTAATATTTAAAATTGTAGTAAGAGTTCTAAATATCGGAGGAATTTTGTGTTCATAGAGGATTTTGTGATGGAACTAACCCGCATTTGCATTACAAGGAGAAAGAAATCATGAAAACCTCCCAATGTTAGCCTTCCAGGCAAAAAGACACTAACCCATGATCCGCCTACCACTGAAAATATTTTACGTCAGCAATGTGATCGTTGCGAACCGGATGCGGAATTCGGATCGATAAACTATTGTTGGAATTTGAACTAGAGGGATCTCATTAGGAGGCGAGTGCTCTTTCTTTCCCCTCAGCCACCACGACTTTTGATACCCCAATTTTTTTTTTCATTTATAACCGTAGTTGAACAGCAAACCCAATTTTTGGGTTTACGACTACTAATGATAAACTCCTTGGCTTTGCATTTTTGAACCCAATCCAGAAGACAAGGGAACTCCTGGATTAAGTATTGGGAGAAATTTGTCTTCGAGGAGGATTTTTTGATGGAACTAACCCACAATTGCGATGCATGAAGCATCTCACTGGAAGGCGAAAGCTCTATCCTTTGAGCCGCCACGACTCTTGGTAGCTCTGTTTTATTTTATTTTATATCCGTCGTTGAACAGCCGACCTATTTTTTGGGTTTACGACTAGTAATGTTCAAATCCGTAGCCATGTAATTTGGTATGATTGCGAGTGTATTCCCATCTAAGCTCTTGAACCTCATATAATACCATAGTAATTCCCTTTCATTTTCAATTCAACAAAAAAAAATGGATATTTTTTTTATTTAAAAATTTCTGAACATGATTTGAATTTAAAAAGAAATGAAAACTATTCAGAAAAATAACTCATAATTGGCTAAATTGGCTAAAAATTAAGAATTCGCCACATATAAATAAGGAAAATCTCAAAGTAAACGGTTAATTATAAATTTAGTTACATGCATGATATGTTTAGATTTTTGTTAATTCACTTTTACCTGATTTATTCAGTTTTATCTAGGGTCTTAATATTTCTAGGGAGTAATCTGCAGCAATTAAATAAATGTTAAAAGTTAGTCTCAAAACAAAATATTAATGTATTTACTAATTAAAAGAGTAAATAATCATAAATACAAAAGATTATTCAAAGCAATCAAGTCTCAAAGGATTTTAAATATCATCCGTTTATTGTTTCATAATAATTACATCGTGTCATTATTCACCGTTTATGAACAAATAATAAGGAATCGATTTAATTAGATCAAGGGGCAGATGCATCCAGTTTTTGAAATAAACAAAACTTTATGCTCATCATATTTAATTAAAGACCTGAAATCGTGAGGGTGGTTCAGGAAATGAAGTATTTCCATCCAGAGTTGCAAACGGTAATTTAAAGTGGCACAGGTGCAAGACAAAACAAGAGCACCTAACTTCATTTTATACTCCACCAAGAGTATTTCAAGAGTCTTTTGAAGTATACTTCAGATGCTTCCTTTCTCACAAAATGTAAAATTTCGCTCACATTTTTCTAGCCCGAAGCTATTATAACCATTAGAAAAGGAAAACATCTAAAAATCATCTCGTAGACATTCTTCGAAATATCTGTTTACACTTCAAAGATTATGGCTGTTTAAAGTAAGAGGAAGAGGTACAACAAAAATTTTGCTTATAAAATATCTTGAAGAATATATCATCAGAAGAGCGTGAGAAGTTATTTTTATGCCGTGTAGTTTCGCTAGGATGCTTTTATTTCCATTATAATGCTAAGAGGTGAAATTTGTTCCTACACGTGATAACAGTTATACACGCTAAATCTTTAAAAGGAAAACTACCAACATCTTATTCATTAAGATATTTTATAATACAAAATTCATTATAATATTCATAATGGAGTTTCAAGTTCTGAATTCATAAATAATAAACAGTTGCTTAGTTTAGACGTATATTTTAATATTCTGTTTAGAATTTGCTTTTACTTTTAATTGAAATTGTTTTTTGATGCAAATATTTTTTTCAAAAATGTTATGAAATAAATTGTTTTTGAATAGTTTTATGAATGTATAAGTAATTGGGGCTTAGCAAAATCTTAAATCGTATTAACATGTGGTATAATAAAGTGTTAATATGCTTCAAATATAAGCAATATTCTACAACAAAACTGAATTTTTAGACTTTTGTTAGTTTTACTTTAACGCATCACTATTCTTACTCAAACGTTTTCAAAAGTTTAAAAGGAGCACACCTTAAAGCAGCAGAATTATTTGAATAATAAATATGTTATTGTGAGAGTGTGTAATAATCTTCGGCATTTTTTGTAATAACCTGCGAACTTTTATGAAAAAATTATGTATTTGATTGAAAGAAGTGTTTGAATTCTTCAATACGAGATATTGTTTTTCTCAAATACATGAAACACTGTTGATTGTATATGCAACATAAAATATTTCAATTCATAAAACTAGATGCTGTGTTGTTGTTCTTTTAAAAAATAAGAAAAAGAAAAAAAAAACTTGTAACTTGATTTGCAAATTGCAACTTGATTCAGATTTAAATTATGACACATACCTTATTAAGAATCTTTTCCGATGTTTATTTTTTGAACTATTATTAGTATTTATTATTGGTGTTAATTATTAGTGTTTATTTCATAAGCTGATTATCGAAGAGGCCAACGTTTTTGCTTCAGCAAGTTGTCCCCTTCGATTTAATTTCATTATATTTTTAGGACATTTACTAAAGTGATTTTATTGTAAAAGAGTTTCGGTGGATTTTAAATTCCTTAGTGTTTTCCAAAAAATTGTATAATTCAAGAACTCAAACTAAACTTTAATTTCTTACTTCTATGTAGGTAAATATAAATTCATTAACAAACTCTATTTTTTCCTTCTCTTTCATTTTAACACGAAATTTTTACACGTACTACTGTATGGTAATAAAATTTCTGATTAAAAAACATATTTTTGCTTAATACGACCAACATATATGGTATTTAAACAATTCATTTGGTAATTTTTTTGTTCATATGATCTCTGTTTATCGGAAGTTCTGGTTTCTGAAATTATATTTCGTATCACGACGTGCTTAGTAAAAAATATGAAAATGTAAAGCAAACTTTTTTGAGTAAATTATTTTTATTCCATGCTCTAATTTATCATGATAAAATAGTCAAATGTTGCCAGAGATACCAAATTTTTTCACTTATTATTAAACCATATATTATTGTTAATTTCATCAAAATCATTACCAAGGCACTTCCGTAAAAAATTACAGAGTTTTATGGTGGTCCCATAGAGCTAGAAACAAACAACAAACAATTTAAATAATAAAAAAAAATATTTCAAAATTGCATAACCTCCAAAATGAAAGTATATTTAAACGTAACAAACATATAAAATGAACAATGTTTGAAAAACGCACGACTATCATTGACATTGTTTTCAGTTGATAAGAAACAGCTATTTAAAAATATGAAACGACATGGTTCCTCATTTTTTAGCTGTCTTTTTTTCTAAACTTTTCTATATAAACTTCTTTTTTTATCGTCATTGTTGGGACATTAACATAATGATGTCAACACATATAAGTTAGCTTCGTCAAAATTATTGGGTTCTTGGCTCAAATCGTTTAAGTTTTGTAGGAATAAATATACGGACATCTGTCTTTTTATTATGATACCTTCTTCTTTCGTTATTTTCTTTAGAATCGGCGATGGAGATATTATAAAATGCACCCAAAAGTTTTTAGGTGGTATCGTCACTGTCTTACGGTCTTTGATTTTTATAACCTTTAAAAAGGACTCTACTGTGCCTTTTCGCGTCACTACGTCTTTATTACTTTACTAGGAGGTATTCATAAAACAGGGACTGTATACTCATAAAATAGCATTATTTTTTGATATTTCGATTTAATATTCCTAATTAAAAACTAGTATGTTATATTATACCCTTTTCAATATGAACAACATGAAGTGATTGTTTATATAACAGCAAAGTTACTGAAAATTGAAAAAATCAAATTTTATAATATATTTATGTTCGAATATATCTGCTGTTTGTATGTCTGTTGAATATATCTGTTGTGTTTGAATATATGGTTGAAAAAACAATTTTTCAATAAATCAAGTTCGTTACAATCAAATCCGATCATTCAAACTCAAGTTATTCATTTTTTCTTATTTTGCGCACTGCATACCAGAAATTTTGAAAATGAAAAGCCCTATCACCATTTAGAAATAAACATGTGATTATACTACCTTTATAATCATTACATTGAATTTTTACTGTAAAATGAGATAACCTGATGAGATAACTGTGAAATGAGATACGTAAATTGAGATAACATAAGCCAAAAATTGTTTTAAAATTCATATTGAAATTAAATGCTCAGTCTACAAATATTTTAATAATGTCTTTGTATATTTTAGTTTCTTCTTCGTTACTTGACAATACAACATTTATATCGCTATTCCTGACACAGTTCTAACATAAGTTATTTCAAATTTCCGTTGGTAACTTAATAATAATAATTCATAAGTTATAAGATATTTTCTAGATGTCTATTATAAAATATAAACACCACCTTTTTTACTTATTTTCCTACATATATTTTTTCCATTTCCTAGAAAAATAGTTTATATATTTTTATATAAACTATTTTTCTAGATTATATTTAAAAAAATATATATATATTTTTTTTTAGCTTTATAATGCAGTTAAGGTAAGATTAATCAATTTTGGAGAAAACTAAAGACATATGTTAATAAAAGAAAACCTATTTCAATCACAAAAAACTTATTTTATTTTGACATTTTATAATTTAGTTTAATAAATAATTAGGAAGTAATTAAAAATAAAAAGGCAAATAAATTTATATTGAAATAACAATTGAAGGTCAGAGCTGACAACAAATTCTGACAACAGGTCATATTGGAAAATGGTAAACTGTATTTTTGAAAATAAAAGTTCTTTTAATTTTTAACCAAAACCTTTCACATACATCTAAAAATTATCAAGTCTGCAAAAAAAGGTGAATTGATTATAAGATAAGCGAAAATATAGATTATACATCAATTGTGAAAGTATGCAGACAACAAAAGGAATTTCGTAAAAAATTAGGCATTGTATTGTACTTTGGTAGAACAAATAAAAGTCGGTGATGACAACTGTTTCTGATAACAGCAGTGACTTTGATGGCTACATTGGGAGATGGTAAACATAATTTTTGGGCAGAAAACAAATCTTTTGATTTTTTGTAAAAAAACTTTTCAGATACTTTAGAAAACTACCAACCCTCTAAAAAAGTAAATTGATTATGCGAGGGAAAAAAATAATGGTTATACAGTAATCTTAAAATCATGTATATAACAAAAGGAATGAGGTGCAAAATTAAGCATTGTATTGCGTGTACTTTACAGCCACACGGCAGGTACAAAGTAGGCAACTAACGCCATGCTACCACAGATCTATGGAAAAGTATAAAATTGCATTCATTGGCCATCTATGAGGTTTATTGGTTAATTTAAAATTTGCTGTATCATTTGCACTGTGGTATAGTGTAATAATGTGATATGCACATTTGTTCGCAATCTTGCTATCAAACAACTTATAGGGGAGATTGTTGTATCTTTGACTAAACGTATCTCGAACCAGGGATACGTTTGTGCCAACTAGTAAAAAATTTTCCTATTTAGTACATGCATTTTACAGAATATAATTTTTTATTTTTCCAGTTGCTTAGTCTCAGAAATGTCTGAATATTTTCTCTCTAGCTTTTCAATCACTTTGACTTGAAAATGAAATTCTGTAAAACTTACATATTAATAGATAGATGATAGATGCGCATCACAAAGTCGTGTTTTGTAAAATAAAATAATAACTTTATAAAAAGTTCCAACTTCTAAAGTTTATGGCAGAATTCGTTAACTATTTTCAATAGATAAAAAAGCTTATAAAGTAATCTCCCATCATTTTTAAATTATTTGAAAATTAGCTTTTTTTGAGAAAAAAATAAGAAACAAAAACTGGTCAAAGGTTTTTCCCTATGTAAAAAAAAATGACATAATCAATTAAAAATGATCATTTATGTAATAAAAGAGTGAAAACATTATAGCCATTTTTAAAGCATTGAGATAGCATACCTAATATCATTTGTTGTTTGATTGCTCAAAATAATTTTAAAAATAGTTGTCGAACTGACGAAACTTTTAATAAATGCCTTCGTTTCAAGATGCTCTCTCTTCACAGTCATTTATTAAATAAATTATAGTAAACACCTCTCTTCTTTTTTTAATCAGAGAAGAAATACTTTTCTTCATCTTCTTCAAATATATTATTGATTCTAAGGTTTAGTTACGTTTTTTCTTCCCTTTAATTGGCTTTTACTTGGTTCGGTAAAGATTTTATAGCGGCATTTTGTTCATGATATTCTCAGAAAAAAAGGACGCAAGTACAAAACAATTTTGTAACCCCCATGGTTTTATGATGAATCATTTAGAGGTAATAAATTTGGGCATGAAAATAAAATTGCATAAAGGATATAAGTATATATATAAAAATATATTGCTTAAAAATAAATTACTTCTCCTTAAATTAAAAATAAATGCGCCGTGAATTTTTCCAGGAGAACTCATAAATACTTTGATTTAATGAAAGTTTTTAAATAATATACAGTTGATGCCTGGATTACTTTTCGAAATTGCAAAAAAATTATATCGGTTGAAATAATATTTTGAAGGCTATATATAATATATTGATGTAGAAAATTTCATATTCAAATAACTTCAGGTTAGAAATGTCTTAAATTAAAGGGAAACAATTATTTGAAAAAAAAAACATACATTAATTTTCATTTTTAATCAACTGTCTGAATGTTAGTGAAATTTTTTGGTACTTAAAAAATTTAATATAATTTATCATAGCGTTCTTCGAATAAAAAAATCTAATTTTAATTCTCTGTGATATAAGATATATGTATTACACGCAGGTACATTGTGCTAAGAGAAATTGATTATTATTTATATTATCCTTTAATCATTAGTTTTTAATTTCGTTTCCATTGCAATTGACCTAGTATTTTTGTACAATCAAGTATTTTAATTATTTTTTAACTTCTAATAGATGCGTGCTTGGTAATTTACTTATCTTTTTAAAACTTTTTCTACACTTTTGTATTCAAACTAATTTTCAAAGATCTATCATTTAACAAAAATAGCAATTTAAATTTGAAAAAAATAATAATTTAGAGTTCATTAACCTGAAAATAAAGTCATTTCACTTCCTTTTAAAAGTATAATTTTCGTAAGGCATTAACCTAAAGCTTATTCAGTATTATTGCAATATTATCTTCAAGTGAAAAATTTTAAAAAATTACTTTTTTGAAAAAAAATCAGAAGAACACTTTTTAGAAGGAAGTCGAATAACTTTTATTTACTTTCGCTAAAACGTAATTTAAGCATTTAATTTCTATGTGCAAATCAGTTTTATAATATTTTCAGTAATAATTTCTAATAGTTGCTTCCTAAAAAAACAATTATAATAGTATAATTATAATAGCTAAAATATTTCAGCTATTAATTATTCATCTATTATTATATTATATTACCAAATAATATTATTCTTAAAATCTTCAAGGCTCAGTTATTTTTGTCACTTTAAATGTAACTCAATTCCTAAAGAATCAGAAGAGTTTCACGAATCATCAAGAATCAGTAAAGTTTCAAGAGGGAGTAGAGTTGCTGAGAAATAATTTTTTATTTCTTTACAATTTCTATTTATAAACGGATATATTAACTTTAAGATTCAGTTTAAACATGCATTAGATTTTCGTTTTAACCTAAAATATAATTTTCTCTAAAATCTAATTGAATAGTGTGTATATAACGATCTCATTATCATCTCAAATACAGGTGGTTTTAATAGTTGTTAGTGGTAAGCATTTTTAAGACAGTTCCTTTCACAAGGTATCAATATCACCTTTAAAACGTTAATGAGCCGAAAAGATAAAACTTAGCTAAAAGTTGCTTTCATTCTCAAAATTAGAAATTCTCATGAATAAAAGAACAATTTCTTTAAAATCTTTTATAAAAATTCTTTTTCTAAGAGTTTTGTTCTAATTTATTTCAGGTGAGTGGCGTCTTGACGAATACTGGACATAGTGTGGCATTTCGGATCTCTAATCTACATCCCAGTGTGCCAATTAACATAAGTGGAGGTCCTTTGTCTTATAAATACCGATTTCATGAACTACATCTACACTATGGGCAGAGTGACGACAAGGGATCTGAACACACCGTTTCCGGAATATCATTTCCTGGAGAGGTATGTTATTCATTTTTAATTAACAAATATGCATATAGTTTACCATCTATGTAGAAGGAAGGAAGAAATACTTGTAAAAAATCTCCCAGTAACTAGTAATGCGTCTTTCCAATAAAAATGCATTATATATATATATATATATATATCCAAGTAGAAATAGACGGTTTTTGTAGGAGAAAAAAAAATATCAAAAATGAATGAACTTAATCTAATGACACTTTATATCATAGTTAAGTATAATATTCTATCCATCTTATTTTACTGAAGCCATTAATATCATATTTTATGAAATAATGCATTGGCATTTCCAAAATGAATAAAATAGATTCAAGTGCTGCTAAATATAGCGCAGCACAACTGTTTTTGTCATAAATCATATCTATAAATTCTGACATTTTAGCACAAAACATTAAAAACCATCTGTTAAACCAAAAGAAAAAAAAAGATAACCTAATAATCATTCTTCGCTATATAGAATTGTTTTCAATTCAAATAGTACAATAGAATATTTCTTTGCAAATTTAAAGTAAAACAAAAATTAAATTATTGCTTTATGACGCTTACATTTGTCGAAGAGAATGAAACATTTCAGAAAACTGTTTAACTGAGAATATGAAACATTTCAGAAAACTGTTTAACATTTATCAAAATTAAATACATAATTTTGCTTCAGAGCATTGCAAGTGATAGTCATGACAAAAATAGAAAGTTAAAGCCTTATATAATCAAAAATAATAAATGACATATATTCCATGAAACTAGGAAATATGCAGAATTTAAATATTTGAACCATGTATTAGTCCATATTTNATATATATATATATATATATATATATATATACAGTGCTGCCAACTGCTCCGCTTTGGTAGCGAATTAAAAAGTAAAATTTGAAGTATTATCATAATTACGGTTACTCTTTCTAGGAATCACCACGAGATAAATGTAATTAAGTTTCATTTAACATGATACTTTGAATTCTTTACATGTCATGGTGGAAAAATTACTTAAAATGAAAATATGAAACTAATAATAACTTAAATTTCATTACCACAAGAAAAGGACTTTTTACAATTTTTCAAAGTGGAGCAAGTTGGCATTTCTGTATATATATATATATATATGCTAATTACAAACAGCACAGGAAAACACATAAAACTCTAATCAAAAATCATATCTGATATGACTTTTTGGTTTTTTTTACTCTAAATTAGATGGCAAGCAATATACCACGTGATTCACACAATGTGTGGAATTCATATGAATACGATGGGACAATGTGTAATTTTCATTTACGAATATGAGAAAATCATTTAGTATTCACATTTGATACTAAGATATTTCAAGCACAGATAAATATTTACAAAATATTATTTTTTGACAAATGCATACTTGTGCCACGTGCAAGACAAAATCATGGATTCACCCTGTTTCAATCTGCTGCTCATCAGTTAAATAAATAATTAAATAAAAGTTTTAAAAAAATTGTCCCAACTTTTCCTATGGTTAAACATCTCATGTCCCGTAATAGTATTTGAGTCCTTTATAATTATGTTTGAGTTGTGTAGTATATTAAATTTTTTAAACTATTTTCTCACATGAGAAATGATTGCGATTGTTTTAGCTGATACCGTTTATTTCTTTTCAAATCTTTTACTTTATATTCCATCCTGAACTTTTTCTTCATTTCATTTTATTCTCTTACAACAAGTATGAATCATTCTGAATAGAAATATTGCCAACATAATCATGTGGAAAAAAAGGAATAAGACCTTTAAGAACTACACTCATATAAGAGTTTGTGTAGTTTGCACCAATTCTTCAAGCTCATTGGTATTCTACCCATGAAATATCTTCGGGCACTTCCAAAACACCTTTAGCTAGACAGAGGATAAACAAGATTCCCTATACTAATATGATTACTTATTCTGAGAGTTTTTATATTGAGAACGGAAAGCACATCGAATAATTCGCATTTTTTACCATACAGTGGAAAACAAACTATGCAGAAGAAATTTAAATTTAGGATTCTATATCTTCAGAATTGAAAAAGAATGGACATATTTTTTTGTTCCTTTATTGTTTTTATTATGTTTAAAAATGAACCCTTTATCAATTGGTAAATGGTATATTATTTAGAAACATCTAAGTAGTTTTCCACGAAAATATTTTCAAACTAGAAAACGTTTCAAAAAAGAGTTTTTGGACTCAAAAGAACAGCGATAGAGAATTTTGTTTTGAGGAATTCCTTCTAATAAAAATTACCTGAACACAAATTGAGTTCTTGCACGATAAAACCGTTATAAATTGCTTGCGTTTTTTTGCTGATATTCATTTAAATATATTGAGAATAAATTCTTTTTAATTTTATAACGATTGAAGAAAGATTTTTTTGCATACATTTCATAATTATTTAAGTTCATTAGAAAATGCGATAAAATTTCTTTGTATCATAAAATATTTCCTTGATTCAGATTTTAACTAATATTTCAGTTAAACTTTCAATTATTTTATTGATTTACTATAATAAAAAAAAACATGTTTTCATTATATTTGTGTTAAAGATAAGTTGTAACTGATTAACAAGCTGCTACACAAGAAAAAAACATATTTGTTCATTTTTAATTAAAAAGATCCTAATTACTTCGCAAGTGATATTGGATAAACAAATAAAGCATACAAATACATTCCGAACAAATGCATCGTACAAAATGCATTTAAACACTTTTTTACATTGATAATATTATTTAATAAAGCACATTCAGGCATGAGACTTATAAAATGCAATGTTAACCTGTCTACTGGATTATTAACAAAAAATAAATAAATATTTTGCTAAATTATGCTTAGGAAGAGGCTTGTGAGTTAATACATGACTAAATTATCATTACAGCTATCACTAATTCAGCCCTTATTTTATTACAACCATTTCCAGAAGTTTAAAAAGGAAATTTGTTTTCACAAATAACTCAAGAAATAGAGCACCTAATCATATGAAATTTTGTATGAAATTATATCAAAATATAATAAAAATTATGATAAAAATCTAATGGCATAAATTCAATATTACAAGTTACTAGGCATTATAACTAAGCAGTCCGAAAATCAATTGCAAAATGGAACTGTAAGGTGGGGTACGACAGCCCTGATGCATTAGAGGTGACACAATGAACTCCAATGCAGTTTATGAGGTTTAAAAGTGTTTTGGGACAACAAATTTATGATGTTCGTTAAAAAAAAAAAAAACAGTTTTCATTCAGGTAGGGTTTTGTGCCAAGAGCATCCCAAATATTCACGATAAGATTTATGCCCGCTGATCTCTCTAGCTGCTCCATCTCATGTACCTCCAAAATATTCTTAGACTAAACCACGACTGTGCAGACGATTGTTGTCATCAATAAAAAATACGGAGGAACAACGACGCCTTCAAACAATCTTACTTTAGGTTTTAAGATTTCAGTCCTATACTTAAAGAGAAATTAAGTTGCCTCTCTCTGAAAGACATAGACTATTGGGTCGGCAAGTATTAAACCGTTCTAAACTATAAGGTCTCAACTTCCATAGTTGCCTATATGTATGATATTAGAGAGACGGTGACGGTTCTCAAAATACACTGTTAAAATTTTCATTCTAAAATAATGGTAAAATAACTGGCAGCCGTCTGTCCATCCGATTAACCGTAACGTTTACGGTAAAGTACATTTTTTTCCTTCATGGTTTTGAAACCATTTACGAAAAAAATAGTTTTAAAACAATGAAGGCGAAACTATACGGTTTTTTAACCATCTACAATAGTATTTTTGAAAATCTTTAAAAAAAATAATTACTTAACTAGACATAGGAGCTCGGCTTTTCGTAAGGTAATGGGCATTGGATAGTGCTATATACTGGAAATTCCTCATGTGTTAAAGGGAATGGTGGAAATATTGTGGTGTTCACACTAGAACTCGAACTCCAGTTCGGCCGGTCATGAGATTGACAGATAAGCCCGCTCGGCTATGATATGTACGCACTTGCGAAGAACTAAGTAGCTTCATTAGGTGGTTCTAGTAGGTGCAATAAAATTCTGGTTGTTTAACCGTATTAGGTGAAAGCAGTTAATAAACAGTTTTTCTCAAATTTAACAGTTTGATTTCCATTTTGTTTATGGTTATTTGATTGTTTTGATTAAATATGGTAAGACAACCATTCAATAAATTGTTATTTAACCATTTTTTCCGAGAAATTTCTAACAGTGTATGTGAACGCGTCTAGAATCATTTTACAATTGTACGGACTTAATGGAGCCTAGTCAGCAAAGAGAACATAGGTTTATTGCGCCTTGTGGACAGGTTGATGATGCTTAATACACCAATTCATGATAGAATTAAATTATTAAGCAAATAAATAGTAATTTAATTACTTTGAAGTCAACAATTAATGTTTCAAGTATCTAATTAAATGTAATAACATTAAATGTAAACAAGTATCTATGCTCAAATATCTAAATTACTAATTCTAAACGGAGAAAAATTTCTGATACCATTGTGCTCGCTAATGTGCTTTATTTTTTACGTAAAGAAAGCTTCTCTTTGAAAAGTTGATTTTAAAGCCAATGTTCTCTACTACATTTCAGAACTTCAGCTGTTTGTACTTAAACTCTGATTGGGTTAATACAGCGTAAAGCAAAATAATATGGCATAGCATATATCCATAGATGAAATTAAAAATAATTTCATTAAATACTCTTATTTGAAAATTATTATTTAATAGGATAATTCATTAAAAAAACATAAAATTATCTTTAAGCAAATTTTATCTTTAAGAAACAACTTTGCGTTTCCTATAAATATGCATAACAGTTCAAACCTTGATTAAATAATCAATTAAAATTATTTAATGCACAGTTTCATTTTCAAGACTCGTTTCAAGTTTAGTTACAAATGCTTGATTACACTAAGTCACGCACAAAAAGCAAGAATAGCTATAAAAAAATAATAAATATTGATGAAATTAAGAACTTTATCCAGATAAGCCATAAGAAAAATATTAAATAATTGGTTCCAACTGTAGCCTTAGGCAATGTATTGTTTTAATGAGGCGGTGCAGTTCTTTCTTTAAAGCATACAATTATTTTACTGTTCTTTTTATTGACCTTTGAAGCATTAAATTCAACATCGAAGCTCTAAACTTTTATACATCTATTTAAATATTTGAATAACTTTTTTTGGAGGTTGAATATATTTGTTGTTCATAATTAAGTAATTTATTTCTTTTAGAGCATAGAAAACAATATAAAGTCGAATATTTTGCTGAAATTAATATCTCAAGTGTATATCCTCTTCAGGGAAACTTTAAGTTCGCAAGTTACGCTTCAATAATTTGATTTCATCATTGAAAAAAATTAATTAATCCCTGATAAAATAACCAAGTAAAGATTTTTTTATATCCAATTCATTAACGTCTAGTCGAATAGGAAACAAGCATATTATGCATTTCTTATAAGCAATTTTCTGTCATTTTTGTTCATTATTCCGGAACACAGTTTAGGTTAAATTTTTAGAAAACAATCATAGTTTTTTTCTCGTATATTTATTTCATTGGTACTTATTTGTTATTCTTTCTTATTTATCTGAATTTTAAGACTTCGCTGTCTTTTCTTTTTACGACAATCAAAAATTCAATTTTTATTTCACATTACAAAATTTGGTAATAGCTTCCTCACTGCTGGATTTTTCAAGCAAAAATAGATTCTGATATCCCAG